AGCTTCAGCTTAATCAAAGTGAGTTATGATCTCAAACTCTATTTAATTCATTAAAACGTTCGAATGTAATCCACATGGAAATTATATCTGATATTTTTAATGTGATTTAGTTTGAGAATCGAGGTGCAGTTGGCAGAAAGACAATAACGGATGCTTCCACAAAAAAAAAAGAGAAATGGATATCCTGTTTTGAAATGTGGTTTCTATGTGAAACTCATTGGTCCACGTTGGAATAAAGAAAGTGTCAGTTTTATCAGGGGTAGACATTAAGGGTAACAATCTACTGGCCCGGCCCCACCATTGTAACCACTGGCCCGGAGCATTCGTACAAAAATCCACTAATAATGAAGAAAATTAACACATTTGTTGCAATAGTAATTTATGCACAAACTACATTACTACTTGTACTACAACATTTTAATCATCAGTTCTTCCTCATTTTCCTCAATTGTTCATATTTGGTTTATTACAATTATTCTATAGATAGAATTGTGAGGGATGAAACCCTCTTTTAATGGTCACACATGCAGAGCACACAGTGACATTTGTTCTCTGCATTTAACCCATCCTAGTACCAGGAGTCTAATGATAGGAGCAGTGGGCAGCTAGTGTACAGCGCCCAGGGAGCAATGGGAGTGAGGGGGGAAGGGGGGTGTCCGGTGCCTTGCTCAAGGGCACCACGGCAGGGCAGGAGGTGAACTGGGACCTCTCCAAGTAGCAGTCCACAGTCCATTCTATTGTGGTCATTGTTAAAGAAAAAAAGGAGGGTGACATTTCTGCTATGAGTATTATTATTTGTATAATGCGCTTTCTGCCTTCCTCTCATTAGGAGTTAGACATGTAATGGCTATGTATTAGATTAGATTAGAACCTTCATTATCCTAAACTGCTGGGACATTTCCCTATAGCCAATATACCTTTTATATTTCCTGCTCTTCACGTATTTGTCAGCATAGGTCGGCATTGATGTACAGAGCCGACAAAAGACCTTGTTTATATCACCATATTGAAGCCAACTCCATCGATCAAGCCAGCGTGGCTGAAACGTTCTCTCCCTCTTCTTCTCATATGTCACTCTCCTTTAACTCTTCCGGTGACATTCTTTTATTTGAAGATTGTTTTTCGCCCGGCGCAGCGCTTGGCTGGTTACCGATGTTTTTAAAAACATTTCGGCAAATGGTTAGGTGGCGCGAAGGTCTGTAGTGAAGGAACGCGCCCTCGCTGCACTCCGCAGCAAAAACAGCCGTTTGCTTTTCACCCAACAACGACAACCGCCTCACGAAACGCTATGTTGTAGCGTTAATGAACGAAACAATTTAACAAAATTGCTTGTCAAAATACCAATACCTCAGGACAATGTGATTTTATGTCTTAATGTTTTTTTGTTGTTGTTTTTTTAAAGTAATATTTGTAATGGCCCGAGCGGGCAAGTGGAAAGTACGTTATGCCGGGGTGTCTAAATAGTGCTTCCGGGCCAGGGGGCCATTTATAATGTCTAGCCCTGGTTTTAGTGAGTGAGGCGGGTGTGGCTGAGTCAGCACTTCAATGTTATTATGTAAGGTAGACATTATTAGATTGTTATCAGCCAAGGAACGGTGGGTTTTGAACAATAGCTGACAAAGTTTTAGGAGTCTTTGATGTTCTTGCTCTATATTAGTAAGTAGGTCTTCCCATTTTTCGAGGGAACTTTCAAATCACCACTCAATGAGACTTCCTCACTGTATCAGCATTAGTTGCATTATTACCGTAAACACAGCCTCTCTGTCTCTCACTTATTGACTCACACTTCCTAAAGGGCCTGGCCTTATCTAAAAACAGATCTGTTTATGTTTTCCTCTGGTCTGTCTTTTTTTCTTTTAAGATGCACTCAGTAATACCCTTTGAGTTTCTCTGGTAATTGATATGCCTTCCTGTAATAACTGCTGTCATTAGTAGCTATCTGCTGTTTTCCACTGGAAGGCTGAATCGCCCACAGCTGCACAGAGGCTTCTGGTCAGTCCAATTAGATGTATGAAATTGCAGAAATGAAGCGCTGTAGAACAATTATTATTATTGGTAGTTCCTTTTCATCCCAAAAAGCAGAAGGGTTATTTTCTTTAAAGCTTTTTTTTGGTATATTTTGTAGTAAATAACCTCCTAAGGTTCACCTGTACATTTCTTTAACCAGCATTAATTGTTTTTGTTTTAATATCAGTAGGTCAAATCAATGACGGTGTGTATCACAACTGGTGGTTTATAGTGGAAACACTGAGAACTAACACCTGAATTTGCACTTCCACTTAGCTCTTTGGACTTTTATTATAGCATTTTTGATATTTTTTGGGGTGTTTAAGACCTGCAACTTCACGGCTTTCCTTAGCCTCATCTCGAGCTGCATTAATCGTCTGTTCTCGGGGGTTGTTTTAAATGTATTTATCTCCCTGAACTCAATGTTCTCCCGGGATAAATAAAGTATTCCGATTCTTTAAAGTTTTGTAGCAGATAAAAGTGAATATTTTGACATCTGGACTGCTAAAACATTTAAAGAATTCCCTTCAGACTTTGAGAAATTGGGATGAACATGTTCTGATATTGAGTTGACCGAACTATAAATCGAGGAGAACAATCTGTTGATAACCCAAATTAAATTAAACGTTAAAGGAAGGACTATACGCTGTTGTACCTGACTTAAAGGTCCCCTATTATACTGTTTTTCATCCATATCTTATAGGTCTCAGATATATACAAAACATGTCTCTGAAGTGTTTTTCTCCAAACACCAAACAGATCATTGCAGCATTACCCATAATCCCCTCTGTTTCAGCCCTGTTTCCAAAGTGCTGATTCTCTGTCTGTTACTTTAGATGAAAATAAGGAGCCCCTCCCCACGCCCCTCTGAGAGACATTTTGTTAAAGAGAACACAATGGTGCTCTAGTACCTCATTCACACCAACGGTGTTTCAGGGCCGGTTCGGAGCTGGANAGAAAACATATCATTTCATTTCAAATCTTTATTTATCCAAGTGTATCCCATTGAGATCATTGATCTCTTTTTCAAGGGAGACCTGCTCAAGAGAATATGCTTCCGCATATTCTCTTGAGCAGGTCTCCCTTGAAAAAGAGATCAATGATCTCAATGGGATACACTTGGATAAATAAAGATTTGAAATGAAATGATATGTTTTCTGTGTTGCCAGGCTGTTCTAAAGGCCTCCATCGTGGCTCAGGAGGCAGGCACGGGACTATCGGTGGTCTTCTTAGTCGACCGCTTCCTCTACTGGACAGATGAGTCGAGTCGGCTGCTGAAGATCACCAAGCTGCTCCACAAACACCACCCTGACACCCCTGTGGCCCCCCAGCTGGTCATACGACAGGCTAGGGTCTACTTAAACTCTGGTACGAATAATAGGTGTTGATATAAACTCATGTAAATGTGAAAAGGCGTTTGGATGTGTCACAGATATGTCACAGATCAGGGAAACGTTACAATCATCTTCCTATACAGGCAAACTACAGAAGGCAGAATACATACTGAGCAGTCTGATTAACAACAGTGGGGCCACAGGTACTGTAGGTGCTTTGTTATTTTAATTGCCTTAAGTTATGCATTATGTTGTTTTTACATGCAAACAAATATACTTTTTACAGGTTGTTGGGTGTACCACTCTGAAAGTGACAGGGCTCTTGTGCAGGCTGTGAGTGTTCAAGTGCGGGGAATGATTTTGCAAACGCTAGGTAAGGTATTTTCCTTAAGGAATGACTAAAGTTCACCCCCTCCCCTTTTATACTGATGTCATGAATCATGGATCCTTTAGGTCTCTAAAATCTTTTACATGTTTTGAATTTGAGGTGATAAAAGCAAGGCCTTACAAGTTTTGTAAAAAGACCTGGGTCAATAAAATGGGATTTAATTAATATATTTATGAATAGAAATTGCTTCTGATTTTTTCCTTTTGCTTAACATATTTATTAGGCTATGTTCTGCTGCATCCATTTTCATCCATGCAACACCTGCTTAGAAAAAGTGCTAGGTCGTGTGCCTGCACTAGTGATTGATGTTGAATATGAGCTTCTGTCTAGCCTGCAAGCTGTTGAAAAATGAATAGTCCTGTAACCTTGTTCCGTTACAAAATAACGGTGTTATGTCCTTGGATTCGGGGAATCGGGCCTTCAAAATCCTTTAGAAGTCCTTGGATTTGATGTTTAAAAAGGTGTAGGAACCCTGTTTGAACATACTTGCAGCTACATATTACTACTGTATGTGTACCAAGATATATGTCATCAATAGAGGTTCTGTGTCATGTCTTATGTTGATATAGTATGATGTTTCCAAGCCTGTTTTATAACAAAAGCATATTATGGCAATCTTCAGTAAAATATATAATCCTTACAGAGCCGGGGGATCATTTTCCGAGAACAAAATCAACATTTCTGAGATTACAGTCTTACATTTATTAGAAAATACATTCTGAAATCTCTTTAGGATTAAAGCCATGAATTAAACAAACTTGAACAATAGTGTGTTTTTATTGGTCAAAGAACCTCATGGCTTTGCTTTACTGAGGAGAAAAACATGTTAGTACATTAGCTTTCAATAATCCAAACCATTTGTGCTCCGTTTCAGGCCTGTGGCTCGAGGCAGCAGAGCTAATCTGGGCCTCTCTGGTTGGCTACTATGCACTTCCTCAACCTGATAAAAAGGTGACCCAGCCACATTATTGCCATCATAGTTGCCATATTTGGAACTTGTAAACATGCATAATATCCACGCTGTTATAAACCTTAGCTCTGCATGTCTCTGCAGGGCATTGGAACCTCTCTCGGTATACTGGCCAACATATTGGTGTCTATGAATGAGCAGGACTTCAATGCTTTTAGGACTAGCCCAGATATTGATTTAGTAAGTCTAACTCATATTATAATGTTTTTTTATATTGTTGGCTCTGTATAACTGTGTTTGTCTGATTGTTTGGAGCAGTCTTTACTTGGGGACAGGAGTCATCGTCTTCTATCAGCAGCTCAGGCAGCTAAGATGGCGGTGGTTTACAGTCAGTATACTTCACTCTACGTGTTGACCAATGTGGTGAGTTTTGAATTGTTGCAATCAAAATAAAGTTTTTTTTGTATCTCACATTTCGGAAGCAGTATAAATCTTTCATTTTGCTGCTTTAAAGGTCACCTATTATGCAAAATCCACCTGTTCATGTCTTGTCTACATCAACATGTGTCCCCTCTGTGGAAAGAGACTCTGAAAGTTTCAGGAAAAAAGATTGGCTCACTTTTTGTCCTGATCCATTTATATAAAAACCTGTCTGAAGTTGAGCTGATCCGATTTCGGCCACTTTATGACCCCACATTACCACCTGAATCTCCTGCTAGAGCACCATTGTGTTCTTTTTAACCAAATCTCTCTCAGAGGGGCGTGGGTAGGGGCTCCTTATTTTCATCTAAAGTAACAGACAGAGAATCAGCGCTTTGGAAACAGGGCTGAAACAGAGGGGATTATGGGTAATGCTGCAATGATCTGTTTGGTACTTCGAGCCAAACACCTCAGAGACATGTTTTGTATTATCTGAGACCTATAATAT